CTGATTGATGATTTCAAATGTGTAAAAACACAAATCTCCAAAACTTTAATTGAAAAGACGAAATTACTGTTTTTAATGCTTCTACAGATGACACCAGTTCACGAACTCAGTAACAAAGCTAAACTAACTTATTGCAAACCGTATTATGCTAGAACATTCTTTATTTAAATCTTCTTTACTAGCATCAGTTATCTTCATTCATAAGTCATTTAAAATTTTTTTTCCTTATAGGATTAAGATTCATTTTTTCCAATCATAACTTTGTAAAATATTTAAACCGTTTTAAAATCGTTGGTTTTCTTTCTCATTGACAACAAATAAAAGGATTCAGCATTCACAGCAACATTATTAATACGCTCAGACTCTGAGGAATGTGAAGGTTCCTGGTGTTATGTAGCACGAGTTCGTGCTCATAATCGTAAAATTACAGACCTTTTATTTTGGACCTTAACAGATTCTAAAAAATCTCGTTTATTCACATTAAGTGAAGATAGAACAATGGTAAGTGATTCAAATGTTATTAAGTGATTCATATTGTTGTGAACAGTAATAATGATGTTGATAAATCTGCCAATTGAGTTGTCAATCTGGTTTCAAGGACGTTTCTAATAACATTCGACTAACTTTATACAGCCACTTGAACACAGAAAAATGAATCGAAGTTCAAAACTAAAGACTAGTGTGATAGGGATATATTTAAACTCCTAAAGTAAAGCGAAGTGATTTATGAATACACTATTTTCATACAATTTATTTACAGTTTAATTAATAATCAGATCTGTGCGAACTGAACTGAGTTGTATTTAACAATAATCCAATGACTTACTGTGTAAACACGAATTTTACTACAATATCTAATTAAGCATATAGAATCCTCTGTAAGATGTGTATACACGTCACACTTGATTTTAAAAAAATTAACGACGTATGTTATTCGCACCGTGTTGTACTACTGATCGCCGTATGATAATAAGAAATAGTTGGTTCTGCAAAGGCAAAACAATATTTCTGTTCTCACTGTTTCGTTTTCTGTATCAAAAAGAAATTCAGTAATTGGTTTCAGTAGCATATCAACTTTCTTTGAAAAATCACAAACAGAAGATAATAAATTTTGAAGTTACTTTTTCCGTTAGCTGAAAATATATCTTCAAACAGTTTGTATTGTGCCGGAAATTCCTTCAGTTCATTAGGTGATATGGACATTTTTTTCCCATCACCAATTGTTGTATCCCTAACCGTCAGTCAGTGTCAGCCGTCAATCAACTCTAGATCCTTTTTAGTTCACAACTCGATGGCCGATTTCTGTATACCCTTCATTTTAATCCAGGAGTTCGTAGACAGACCTCACCAAATTTGCCTTATTTCAAACAGATAGAGCTTATATACTAAGCACATCAGACCACAACACACTATAAGATGAGAAAATACATTTATACATGGGCAAGTCAGAGGTGGCTTGAAAATGGAAGTCTGTGAATTATAAACTAGCAATAGACTAGAACGAATCAACTGTAGTTATTGAGTTGATTGGCAGATCATAATAAACGGATGTTACTGGATAGTTATGAAGTTGTACACAACAGTGATCCACAAATCAGTCCTGCAAGTTGTCATTCTTCTAATTTTCTTCATGTTATAGCGAATGTATCAAACAAAGGAATTAAGCTTTATCACCTTTTTCTTTGAAAAAAAGATACAACTCTCTGCAAATGTAATCCAAAATGAATTTATGCTCATCTCTCTGTAATTAATTAATCATTCAACGTAAATTAGAAAAAACAATTATTTCATTATTCACTTATTTATTTCAATATTATTTGTAGGCTGAATATGATTTATATAATGCAAAGAAACATTCATTACCAGTGTTAGCTCGTTATGAAATGGAACAATTAGCTAAACCATTATGTTTAAGTATGCTACCATTATCATGTTATAAAGAAGAATTCTTTTTTATAACAAATTCTGCATCTAAAATTAAATTATATAATACAACAACTTTAATGTGTCGTAAAACTGTGAGTTCTTTTCCTCAAGGAATTGAATATACAAAGTAAGTTTTTATTTTTCCAACTAATAATAATTGCATTAAAGTTTTGTAAGAATAAAAATCTTCATATATATGCCTGACGTCAGCTAGATAGATCAACAGTGATTCAGTAGCTTAACGGCAACCTATTGATTGAGAGATATGACTATTCGTGGTTAGAGTTACAATCGTGGGTACACACTTCTAAGTGAAGACCAAACAACTGTTTAATGATTCCTGGTGTTCAATGATGTTTACTGCTGATGTTCATTCAGGATAAAAACTTTCTTAAAATCAATAATCCTTCACAAATACTAAATGAAATAAGAATTCGTATTATTCTGCTTGTAAATAAGAGTGACCATGACGAATAAAAAGAACTGAATAGAAAAATCCTAAGCTATCAAGTTTATTCTTTTTGAAAACTTCAACTGATAGTTTCTTAATGACGATATATTCAAACTGCAGCATGTCCTGGAATTATCTTTAGTTAACCTGTTTATCAGTGTTTTTTGGGATGTTTTAATCATTTCAATACGCATTAACTTAAGTGATTTTCTTTTTTTTTCTTTTGTTTATTCTAGAGTTATACCACTGATTTCTCGAACAAGCAATCCAAATTATTTTATGGTATGTATTTCAAAAGAACGTTTAGGATTGATTATGTTACCATTAGATGGTGATCCATTGAAGTATACTAATATTATTGCACATCCAAGTAATGGTCGAGGTGTTGGACATGCTCAAGGATTAGCTATTGATAGAAATGGTTATTATGCATTTACAGCTGGTGGTCCAGACACTTGTATTCATATGTGGATATTAAATACTAAGTAAGTTAAGATTTTGATAGTTTGTATTTTAGTGTCATGCATCAACTTATCTGTCACCTAATTTTCAAGTATGTTGATAAATTTTCTAACTTTACAACTGTTGGTCTGATTTTTTATGAACATAAAGTGTATGATGTACTCGTAACCTAATAACTTAAAAATTTGAACTGATTACTTCTTGTTTCTCCTTTTTCGGAATAAAATGTAGTTGGAATTGAATTCAAACATATTATACTGTGAAAAAAACCCTTTAAGAGCAAATCCGATGGTAAGCATCCATGGCTAGTGGTGTGTGAGAGTTAACCAGTATTAAAGAACTTCAATACATACATTAACAAGTTATTTATTTTCGATATATACTTTGTCATACTTTGTCATCATGTCATACATAAGATTATGTATAGTTTATTTGCATCACTGGACTGTTACATGATTACCATAGTACGTTACAGGGGAAAAACCATTACCTATAGTTGAAAAGAATCAAAGATATAACGACAGTAATAAATTTGTTAGAAGAAAATTCATTGACTTTTCAACAGATCTGTTAACTTTGCGTAAGGCAAAGAATGATGCCGAAAAAACATAGAAATGTTATGCTACTCTTTTTACTCTGATCACATTCAACTTTGGTCATTACCTAGTCAAATCTTAACGAACCTCAATGAACGTTTCTGTTCAACATGCTAATCTGATTTGATTAATTGAATGTAAACTTTCAACTCTCTTACAGATCAAATTTTTTTGGATAATTCACTTAATATCGATTACATTATGAAGCATCATGATGTCCTTCTGTGTGTAAAAGATTTTAATTATATCAGAAAAACTAAAGGTTCATTTTAAGAATTTTAATACTGTTGACAATTTGCACATTAACTGAAGAATATTATAATAGATTAAGCTGGATAGTTTACGTCGCCAAATTACTTAAACTAAGTAACTATTGAAAACTATAAAGAAGTGAATATTTAAATATCCTAATAAAAAACTTGTCAGGCGTTTATACCCATAAATTAACCCCGGACCTTCTGATCTAAGGATGAACATATTACTTCTAGATCTGTATTCGGATCTATTAGCTAACATTTTTTACTTCAGTTGATCTACACTATTAAAGGACTGTCATTTGTTTCCTTCAGTGTCACGTGCGTCACTTTCAACGCTGCTAATACCTACTCATTACAATTTTTTACTAGTGAGCGCGTAAATATTGCTGATATTCAAAATTTCTCGAATCTCCTTTATGTTAAAAAGTCATATTAATGAGGTGTGTACTAAATATGTGTAAGCCAAAGTCTCTTAGAAGCACTTAGTCTATATATATATATATATATATATATATATATATATATATATACATCTAGTTATTGATTAGATTAATTCATACTAATAGCAATAGTATTTTAGTAAGTGTCTTTTTCTTTTACACTTTTTCTACACAACAATTAGTGTACTAGAAGAAACAGTCAATGCAATGAGTTGTATAAAGAAAAGATTTTATAATTTTCTCTCAGAGGACTTTTTAGAAGAAATAAAAGATTATTTCTACTATTCCATGATTAAAACACAAGGAATTTGTTGTATGGATGAACGTAAAACATCATTAACAATTCCACTAACAGAAATACCATTTATTATGAGAGCAATAGGCTTTTATCCGACAGAAGTAGAAGTAAGTATTATCAATTATCATTACAGTGTATAATGATTTACATTTTTAAACAATGTATTTATAATATTCATTTGTTTTCTATAAAATGATTCAAAAACTGTCTATTTTAATAAAATAGCAAACAAAATAGTAAATAAATAATCTCCAGACAAAAAGAAAACAGATCTAGTTCCTATACAAAATACTTTGATTATATTCTGACAACTATTGATTAAATTTTCAGTAAGCACTAGTGATATTGTACAGAAAAATAATGAATATTCCCCCCCAGCTAAACTATCTTGCTCACAGGACTCATCGATATCGAAATGTCTATTGTTTTTACTCTGTCTAGTAACAAATCAGTCTTGTCATGCAATTACATTTTCAAAAATCATTTTTAATCTGTTCACATATTTTAGGTTGAAAATATGATAAATGAAATTAAATATTCTAGATTTTGTGATACGGGCGAATATACAACAGAAATTGATTTGGACACATTCATTCAATGTAAGTAGTTGAATTTTATTAAAATTTGAAGTATAAATATTATTATACACAAGATTTTTTTAAAAATACACTTTGTTAAATAGGAGTAATGCATCAAAATTTTTTAAAAATTTGTAGTGAATCTTTTTTCAGATGCAATTTTACTAGTGTTCTCAATCTAAATTGTACAAGCTAGTTAATAAGTTAATTCATTTAAGCTATTCATCTCACGGCGATCAGATATAACTAGTTAAATATTAAATATCCAGTTGTATAACATTGAAAGTATCACAAATGAATGATAGACTTTTCATTGAACTATATCAGAACACATAAAGTACTTTATTAAACTAGTTTTATAATAGATAAACACTATTAGAATACTAAAAATTAGTTGAAACACGCTTCGAATGTATTGTACTTTAAAAGAGTCTTGGGGGGAATCTAAATAAACCGAACGAATAATCAACCCATGTCTAAAGACCACTTTTCAAATTAATGAAATAAAATCACCACTTTAATATTATAACCAACTCGTATGTTCAAGTAAATACTCATCAATACAATTTTTAAACTGTCTTTTTCAATTTCTTAATGTTAATGCTACTTTCTAGTATATTGTAATCATCGACCATTCCAAGGTGTGTTATATAAAGATGTTGAGAATGCTTTTAACACTTTAACAAATGCAAATATTGATCAGAAAGAGAATTGTGCTCAATTGTCAGATTCTCATGATATAACACAGGACAAATCAACTATTACAATTGAAGACTTATTTCTTATTTTACAGAATTCAGGTGAGCTTTTCAAATAGAGTGACTAATGTACATTTACGAAGTTAACTTATATTTTAACTTTGTTTTGCTTCAATCGATTTCTGTGTTAATATTAACTACTGAACTATTGTACTGGTTGATACCTTCAAGCTTTTCCTGCTATCTGAGTATACAACAAAACACACAAAATGTTTTAATCTCTTTAGATTAATTAATTAATGATACGAATGGTGTAATCTGCTATGCCTTTACATACCTAAATTACCGAAAATTTTTTACAGATACAATTTCACTTTGCGTATGTTTATATGACTGAAAATCAGTGTTTACCTTTTGTTTGCTTCCTTACGTTTCGTTCTTCGTTACCGATAAATCTCAGACTACTTAACAAAAGTTTCGGACCATCTGATTTGATTATACGCGTTTTATTGATGTGTTAATGTTAATGGGACATAGATGGAATAAAGCATGACTGCGTTAGCTGCCCGCTGATTGGCTAATTCCTGGTCGACACTTAGAGAGCATTCTAGAAAATTTCCGTGTTGTTAGATGCACGCTGATTGGCTAAATCTAATCCAACCTGAGTAAGTCGATCACGTGGATTAGATTCCAGAAGCTTCTCATGTAAAAACCATAAAGATATTAACGTTATTCCTAGTTCACCTTTGCTTCGGCTTCTTACTTCCATTTAACCTTGCTATTTGGAATATAATCTTTTTCCTGTTTCATCGTGTTCTGATTTGGGGACATGTCGAGTGTATTTTTGTCAGAGAATACTAAGCAAGAGGAATAGCTGGGTTACTAAGAGAGATTTATAACAGTTAATAACAGTCATCATCCCTAAGTAGATAGAAGTATCAGTCATTTAAGTATGGTAACTTGTCTTTTGTTTGTATTAATAGAGTAACCTGAAAATGTTGTTTGTTTGATAGTATCCAATATGAAAATAATTCGGTCATTTGAATTCATTTCGAAAATAAGACTAGTGTATGATGAATAAGAATGCAAGTTAAAGTAACATGTAATGAAGTGAAATTGAAGAAATATATTTTTCTTATTTTACAGAACTAACACATACTGTTTTGACTAAACTGCAAATTGGATTACAGTATAATTTAGATATTTTGGATATTTTTATAAAATCTGAACCTCATCATATTTTAATGCTTGTAGAATGAACATCAACGATATCAATACACAATTCTTAGCACTTAAATTACAGAAAACTAAATGGAAGGCAAAACAATTAAAAACTAATTTTAGTGCATATATGCAAATGTTTACAAATTATGTTAGGGTCTTAAAAATTTTATTCACTTGGGCACAGAAAGAGTACAAACGTAAGAGGTTGGAGATTTTTAGGAGAACACTGAAGTTTGATATTCTAATAACTAATGTCTGTATTCCTTAGGCTTGTCTAAGAATACAAGAGATAGTCATGCTTAGATCTTCAAAGTAATTTACAAAAAAAGTACGATAATATGAGTTAACCTCAACTTTTTCTTACCAAGATATCAGCATTCAGACGATTCCGTTATCACACTCTTCAATGCGATAGAAAGTAATTTAAACAACCCGTTTCCCATGAACATTACAACAAAGATTCGCTGAAAAACAGTTGTACGCATTCTGTGTGGTACTAAATGGTACTGAATTTCAGTTTATCTGCTTGTTACATAGGAACAAAGATAGCTTTAATAATCTTTGTATTTTTTAGTCTAGAACGCAACTTTTAGTTTTTAGGAATTAACTTCATAAAAATTAAAGTATTCAGTTAATAAAGTGAATATTTTTGAAATTCGAAACGGTGCAATAGTAAAACACCATCTTTTTCTATGCTCAAGATGAATACTTCAAAAACTCGCTTCGCCATAATTTATTATAAATATTTGTCGTAATCGTTCATTCATATTTAGTAATATCTATTCGGACAACCAACTAAAAATTCACTACAGATTGTTATACCATTCCTTACTCTTTATTGCAATATCCTCAATTCTATGCACGTATAAATTAATTTAATTTCCAGGTGAACCGATAGGAGAAGCTGAAATGTCTGAATACATGGCAATTCTTTGGGGTATTATACCTGAAGGTGGTCGTCAAGAATTCAATGAAGAAATCGATGCTGAAAAAATTGAAAAAGAACTTGAACGACATATGTCAACATTTGTAAATGCTGAAACGTTTGTAAGGGATATTTTACAAATGTTTGTATATGGTAAAAATAAGCTTTCAGCTGGTCATACTGATGAACTTTTATCAACAAAGACAGAACAATTTGATACATCTGCATCTGATGAACTAGCATCAAATGATAAATATTTTGCTAACTCAACACAAACAGAATAAAGGACTCTATTTCTTAAGTAGCTAGCCCTATCTAACTTTAATATTTCTAATACACGTAATGAGGAAAAAAAGGTTGAATAAATAAAATATTTCACAGCAAAACAATACGTTTGCAATTTTACCGTGACTTTATCTTCAAAATTTAATCACCTACCTCAATCTCTGTAATGAAACTTTGATTGCTTGGTCAAATATCCCAAAACGCTATCGTTCAGTGTGCCTGTGTAGACTGATCGTGATCAGAATAAGCTTAATTCTCTATTGATAATTAATTTTGTCCCAATCGAGGTGATGCAATTTTCTATTCAACATTTAAGTATATAGACATGCTATAAGAAGATAATTTTGCCAACTTGAGTTGATCAGACCATAAATCTTTATTTGATGGCCGAATCCGAAAGCTTTTGGATATTCTTTGGAATGATCGAACTTACGGAGATACGATTTTTGCTCGGTTTTCGGAAATTGAATTTTCAGTTTGATCGTGGTTGAGGACATAAATTATAGTTCAGTTTCTTATTTCCTACTATTTGATGTAATGTGGTACAATCTGAAATAACAGATAATTTTGTCAGCTTCTATGGTGTTTTTGTTTCTCGGATTATTTTCAACAAATATAGGTGTTTAGTGACTAAATATACGTCAACGTTAAAAAGCTAAAACGAGCGGAAGGTGAATTAAATGTATGTATCCGCATGGGATACCAAATGATGTGAATATATTTATCTGCTCAATATAACTACTTTAGATTTAATGAAGTTCAGTAGTGCTAAAAGTTAAAACATGTAACGTATATTCAATCCTTTTTAGACGAAGCTAGTTTATTTATCTAAACCACAAATCGAGAACTATATGTTCGGGTATATATTTTGAAAATGATCGATGCTTTCTTGAGTGTATCATCGAAGCTGAATAGTTGTCATATGAGATGCTTAGCAAGGAATACTGACACGTGATCTTAAGTAGTTGGTTGCATGAGTGCTTTCAGCTAGGGATGTGTCCAACAGAACTAGGGAGATCAACGATGAGGTCGATGACCTACAGAACCGTTTATTCTAAGAATTTACTTGCAGCCACATGCGTAGCGTCCGGAGGATTAGACTTCGAGTAGCTCAGGAAAAGCTTTTCCGTTATACACATAAATACCTCCGGAATCAATAAAAAGAATGGTGAATAGTAGTGAACAAACTCTTTGGTTAAAGAATTAGCAAATGAAAAT